CTTGTTGGAAAAAAAAATGCAATTTCCAACTTCAACAATCCTTACTCCAACCCATATTCTGAAACATACAATCCAAGGTGGCGGAATCAACCAAACTTCAGTTGGAGAAGCACACAACCAACTCATGAATCTACAAAATTCACAACCACCACCTCAAGGACCTCCCACATATCAACCATACCAACCACCACACAAGAGGAGCCTTGAGGACACATTGAACCAGTTCATGCAAACTCAAATGAACTACAACACTCATTCCACGTAGGCTTTTACTGATTCAAAGCACATACCACCTAGTCTTTCGAGGATACATACAACACTCATTCTTGTCCTATTCTTGCTTCTTTTCCATTGAATCACTAGCCAGAAATCTATGAGCTCTTTAAACAGGTGAAAATTAATATTCCACTTCTGGATGCAATCAAGTAGGTCCCCTCTTATGCCAAGTTTCTAAAAGACTTGTGCATAATCAAGAAAAGTCAAAATGTTTAAAAAAGAGTCTTCTTCACGGAACGAGCCAATGCCTTGCTTCAACACAAAACCCCTCCAAAATACAAGGACCCTGGGTGTCCAACCGTATCGTGTGTCATTGGAAACTTCATAATAGAACAAGCTCTACTCGATCTTGGGGCAAGTGTAAATTTTCTCCCATTCTCTATTTATCAACAGTTGGGTCTAGGTGAACTCAAACCCACTAGTGTTACACTCCAATTCGCAGACAGGTCTGTTAAAATCCCAAGAGGCATTGTTGAAGATGTACTTGTCCAAGTGGACAACTTTGTCTTCCCTGGTGACTTCATCATTCTAGATACTTATCCAGCAATGCATTTAGAGAATCAAATTCCTATTATTCTTGGTCGACCCTTTCTAGCAACCTCCAATGCACTAATCAATTGTAGGAATAGAGTCATGAAATTGACTTTTGGGAATTTGACTCTTGAGCTGAATATTTTTAATATTGCCAAGCACCCTAGAGAGGACAAGGAAGTGAGAGAAATAAATTACATTGAGTGATAGGTTCACGAATATTTGAATGACACCTTCTATGAAACCTCCGTTGAATCCTATTTGTTGGAACCTAGCACATTGGAGTCAACAGATGATGACCCAAATCCACAAAGTTGCCCTACTTACACTATTGAGACATAAGCACACCCAAATTCGAGTAACTTTCATCAAGTGGTACAAAGCCACTCTCATCAAGTGTCAAGCCACCAAATCCTGAACTAAAGCCACTCCCATTTGACCTCAAATATGCATTCTTGGGAGAGAATGAGTCATACCAGTGGTAATTTCATATGAGCTTACAGACATGCAAGATTCTAAGCTAATTAAAGTTCTTAAACACCGTAAAAGCACCATTGGGTGGACTATCACTGACTTGAAAGGTATAAGCCCATTAATTTATAATCATGCCATATACCTTAAAAAGGATTCAAAACCCTCTCGCCAAATACAATGATGATTGAACCCTCACATGAAGGAAGTGGTGAGAACTGAGAAGCTCAATCTCTTAGATGCAGGGATAATCTTTCCCATCTCTGATAGCAAATGGGTTAGTCCAACCTAAGTTGTGCCCAAAAAGTTTGGGGTCACAGTAATAAAAAATGATGCCAATGAACTAGTACCAACTCGAGTCGTCACAAGATGGCGAATGTGTATAGACTATCGAAAGCTCAATTTGGTGCCTAGAAAAGACCATTTTCTCTTCCATTTTCTTGACCAGGTCTTAGAGAGAATTACAAGTCATGCATTCTACTGTTTCCTAGATGGGTATTCCAGGTACAATCAAATTGAGATAGCACTAGATGATCAGGAGAAAACAACATTCACATGCCCTTTTAGCACCTTTGCATTTAAAAGGATGTCATTTGGACTTTGTAACGCTCCTACAAGATTTCAAAGATATATCTTGAGCTTGTTCAGTGACATGGTGGAGAAATATTTGGAAGTGTTCATGGATGACTTCTCTATAGATGGTGACTCATTTGATTTATATCTGGCCAACCTAGACAAGGAATTGATTAGATGTAAGGAAGTCAATCTGGTGCTCAATTGAGAGAAATGTCATTTCATGGTAACACAAGGCATTGTCTTAAGTCACATTGTGTTGTCTGAAGGCATGAAAGTTGACAAGACAAAAATAGATTTGATTAGAAATTTGTCTGCTCCCATGACTATTAAGGATGTCCAATCATTTCTAGGATATGCAGGGTTCTACAGGAGACTCATAAAAGATTTTAGTACCACAGCTAAACTCATGTGTCATCTCCTAAGTCAGGACATAATTTTTGTAAGGAATGAAGCATGTCAAAAAGCTTTTGACAAGCATAAAGACATGTTAATTTCTACCCCAATAATGCAACCCCCTGATTGGACCCTACCCTTTGAACTTATGTGTGATGCAAGTGATTATACTATAGGTGCTATGTTGGGGCAAAGAAAGAATAAGAAACCACATGTGATTTACTATGCAAGTCAAGAAGGATTTATGTTTATTTAGATGGAAAATTTATTAGTATTATATAGGAAGATGTATTATGATAGGCGTATCTTTCTTTGGATTATATATGACATTGAAATTTATACATTTCTACTTTTTTTGTTTTCTTATGTCTATTATAATTGATTGTAATTATTTTTTCGGTGAGTTTGTTCATTATGTGATTGCACATTTATTTTGATTTTTCATCTTTTAAAAATAATGGGAGTGCTCATTGTAAGGGAGTATGTTAAATTAAGTTAGAAATTTTATGATAAAAAAATATTTTAATTAAATTTCTTTTCAGTCCAACATAAATTATTTTAGCCAAATGTTGGAATGAAATGTGCATTCTATTCCAAGACTTAATTCCAATTAATTGTCAAACATTGGAACAGTATTACATATTTCATTTCATTCACAAGTTCATTTTATTCCCATGTTTATTCCATTTCCGCCTATATGTATTTTTATGCACCAAACACTGCATTAATTCTAATTAATTGTCAAACATTGGAATGGTATTTACATATTTTATTTCATTCTTATGCTTATTCCACTCCTGCCTAAATGTATTACCGCGTACCAACCACAGCGTAAAGGTACAACTACAGAAGAAGCAGCGGTGGATTTAGCATGGGGCAACTGCACCCACTAAAATTTTAAAAATTTTTGGAACTTAGGTATAATTTTAAAATTTTCAAGAATTTCTTAAATTTGCCCTCACTGAAATTTTTTTAAAGTATATAATATATTAATATAATTTTCAACCATTAAAAGCTAACTTTTGACAGCTCCTCCTCATTTTTCACACCTAGCAATTGCCTCCACTAAAATTTTAAAACCTTTTGAGACCTAAGTGTAATTTTAAAAATTTCAAGAATTTCTTCAACTTATTGCACTAAAATTTTCTTAAAAATATATGATATATTAATATAATTTTAAATCCTTAAAAGCTAACTTTTTGCAACACCTTTTCACTGCTGTTTTTTTTTTCGTAAGCCATCATCTTACTTGTCCAAACTTTCAGTCCAATCCAAGCGTCCAGCCGGTAGCCCATCTTCTTTCTTTTATTTAGTTTCTTTATTAGTTCCTTTGGTGTATTCATCGAAAAATCACCCTATTAGATTCAATCATTATGCAAATCAAATTTGAAGAAACCCTAAAAGATTATGTTGAAGCTAAGGAGAGGTAATCCATTAACCAATTTTTTTAATAGTAGTATTAGCAATAATTTAAAATCAGATTTTTTATTTTAAAAAATTAGTTTAACTCTTGTAGAATTGATGGTTATTTGGTATATTATTTATGAACTTATGTAGGTTTTTTTTTGTTTCGTCTTAAGTCATCACTCAACTATTTTGAATTTTTGTTAAAGTTCATGTTCAGATTGACTATCTGAGATTCTTGGTTAGTGCTATTTTTTTTCCCTATTATTAAATTGCTTTAATAGATTTCTTGAAATTTAGTTGAAATTATATTTTGGATTTGTGGATTATATTTTGATTATATGTAGTCTATTATCTCCCTTGTTATGAACTTAATGGCGAACTCTTAAACTTGAATCTAATTAGACAAATTTATTTTTTAATTAGCTATGAATAGATTGCCCCACCAAGGCAAAATCTTGACTCGGCCCCTAAGAAGTGATTCCTACATTTGTAGTGTAACTTCTGTTATGAACAAAAGTCACAAGCAAAACAATAACACAATGAAATAGAAAAATAGCACAAGATTTACGTACTTCGGCCTAACAAATAAGTTTACGTTCACGAGCAAAACACAACAACAAAATTTTACTATCAAAGGTTAGAGATTACAAAATTCTTGAAACAAAGACAACAAGGAAAACGTACTTTACTCTATCACTATTACAAAGTTGATAGTGCCAAAAATCTTCTTCCCAATCACGGTGTTCCCAAAGAAGACCCAAAATCAAATAGAACAAAACAACCCAATTTTCTTTGAGGAGAACCCGTCGAAGTAGTCAATCACCGAAGACCACCTCAAATTTATGAAACTTCTGGACTTCATCTAAAAATCCTTGGCAATACACCAAAGTCAAAGACTTCAAAAGTCCTTCGTGTAGGACACAGGTTTTGCAATGTTTTAATCCTAATCAAACACAAAACCAATGGCCTATCCTTCATGGAGCGAGCACCCGCTTTGACCAAATAGGATCCAAGTATGACTTAGAATACAAGTCAGTATAACACTTTTAGTACTGTATGGGCAGAACACCCAACTGGTTCATACTTTTTTCCCTCTTTTTTATTAGTCATTTCTTAGATGGTTTAGAGATGAGAGAGGAAAGCCAGCAAAAAAAAAAGAGATGAGAGAGGAAAGGAAAGACTGCTGCTGATTTCCACGGAAGTTTCCATACAAAAATTCATCTTCCTACAGTGGATCTATCACCACATAAGGAAGCAACACAATAAATGAAGTCAGATCGGGGATTCAAACTGTGAACCAAAAGAAAAATATGAAAATTAGGAGCACAACATTTTAAATCTGCAGGCAGAAAACAACTGAAAGATTCCAACCCAATGACGCCCGTCTGTGATTTTTACATTCACCTACTAAAATATTTAACCACAAGTGATAGTTATTAAATTAACTTAAAACGGACTATATTTCTTTATTTTTTGGAAAACATAAAAATAAACCTTAATAACACAGACTTGCAAGCTTTATGACCTTTGACAACACAAGTACACAATGATACATGAACACTATTTACAGAAATTCGATAAATAGTTTTTACCCCTCTGCTTTTCCTTTTCCTCCCAATCTTAGCTCTGTCGGTTCAAAATCTTGAGTATGTCCTACCTATCATGGCCTCAAAAGCTTTGGACCTGTGTTGGAAGCCATCCATGATGTGACTACATCCACAAGCAGGTCTATGTCCCTTGAGATCTCAGCACGAAGGATCCTCGAGTCTATGCCTAGTGTGTTGCCCACTTCTTTGGCAATCGTTTCCCACGGAGTCCCTGCAGCCAAATTTGCCAAAAGCTCTCCTCCCCTGTTTACCGCATCCGCCATTGCTGGTGGAACCTCTGGGAGAGCCTGAAATGTGGAAACTTAACAATGATTGCTTGCTGTTTGAAGTCACAGATGTCTAAACCCATCACTACATCCAGAAACCACAAAAAAGCAAAAATAATTTCTGCAAGTCTGGCATGATATAATGAAACATAAAATATTAAGAAGGGATCAGGGCAATGAAGGTTATTCCCAACTACTTTTTGGTACCTGCTGTAAAGGGAGACCGTGATCCCCTGGCAACAAACGAATGGACATATCCAGCATTGAACTGATGGCAGAATCTGAGCTAAGCACTTGTGCCAGTGCAGAAGTTTCATCAATTGTATCATCCTTGAACTTTATTAGAAGGTTTCTGGAGACACCGTAGTATGATTTTATCTGTAATATTCATACTTCCCAGTTACCACAATCAAGTTACCTGAAAAATGTTTCATAAACAAGTAGAGCTGCAAAACAACAAGAAAAATAAGTTGACTTTTATAGCGTGTGCACAGCACCATGTGGAGGGTTATTTTGTCTTCTCAATTTTCTGGTCAATGTTGTTATATTGAAGTGAGATACGCTGTGGGTTGTCTCGTAGGCCTTTGGTTACTCTACAACCCTTTCCAATAGACCTTCAAAATCTCTTATTTATCCTCAAAAATCCTCAGATTCCTTTCCTTTCAAATCACTCATATGATAGCAAAGAAAACACAATGCCAAATGATTTTCCATTTGCTATTCTCTCTAAAGGCCGCATCTTTCGAACAAAGCATAGATGCCATAGTCCTTGGAGCAACCCACACGATCTATCATCAAGCTCCAATTTATCAAATAAACTTTCTCACCCTATTTCCATTTACCACCCTATGGAAAAATTTAGTATTATTATCACCTTTAACTTGCTTAACCCTTGATTTTTGCCGTAAGTTAATCTCTTCCTTAAACACAACCTTCTCGAATTTATTCTTAAGCTCTCTCCTTTGTCTTTTCAACCCTTCATCCATAACCCCTCCTTCAATTTTATTCGCGTCATCAATCCTATCCAAAATGAGTATTTTTGCTTCCCGAATGTCTCCAAACACCTCTTTATTCCACACCCTCAATGTTTGTTTTATCACCTCAAGCTTCTTCATAAATCTATATCATTGCCACCCTTGTACCCCTCCCTCTGCCCACCATTCTCTTATTATTTCCTTAAAATCTCTATGTTCTACCCACATATTCTCAAACTTAAACGAACAACGACCCTATCTAAACTAAGATACACAAAGAACAATAGGACAATGATTTGAGACAATCTAGACACGATTCCCATTCTATAGAAAACAAAAATCTACCCAATATTTTACTCACTACAAAAATCCTACAATTAGACCATGTAAACATTCCATTGGCCAAAGGAGGACCCCCTAATCTCGGTTTCCCTAATAAAAGCATCAAAATCTCTCATACTCTCCTTGGATATCTAAGGGCATTAAAACCTCCCCCTATACACCATCTAGGACCACACATCCTAAGTAACATTGCTAACTCTTCCCATAACTTAATCGATGGCTTGTTAGGTCCATAGCTCCAAGTAAGCCACCAATCATATCTTTCTTAATGCTTAACTCTTATTGAAACAGTGTATTCCCCCTCTAGAGCTTCTTCCACACTTATAGATCTCTCATCCCAAATAATGACAATACTAACCGAACACCCTACATAATGTAAAATGACCCAATACCTAAACCTAGACCCCCAAACACTACTAATGACTCTCCTATCAATAACTTCCGACTTATTTTCTTGTAAAATTACAACATCTGACCCAATTCTCTCCAAAAACTCCTTTATTAAACATCGGCCCTAATCCCCTGACATTCCAACTAACAATCTTCAGAACAAACTATAACTTTCACACCACTTTTCCTACAACTACCCCCTCTTAATTTATCTAACTCTAAATTTGTTAACTCCCTCACTCCCTTCCCTCTTTTTTTCTTTTGTTCTTTTTTTTGATGGAACTAAAGAAAAATCCATTTTATGTAGAAAATTATTTAGCACAACCCATTTTTCCTCATCCAATAGAAAGCATTCATATTGTCCTTATTTTCACCTCCCTATTCCTTTCCCTCAAAACTCACTATAGCCCTAGTTGTCATAGCATTAGAGTTCCCTGTACCAAAATTTATAGTGGAATGCCTATTAGCAGTAGTCAACATAGGATCACATACAGTGCTTAGTGAAACATTTAATAAACCTAAACTTGGTTCACTCAGATTCCATAAAAATCCATTCTCCTCATGGACCGCCCAACCCTTCTCAGAGGACCCAATTACATCACAGTTTGTAGAAACCCATCTTTTCCCATACCTTAGCCCACACCATTCCTTCACCGAAATAATTTGTCCCTCTCAAGACAACTCCATTTCCTCCCTTAATTCCATCCTAACACCACCAACAAACTCAAAAAAATCAAGGACATCAACACTCCCTCCCCTAGAAAAGAGAACATCCCCAGAAGAAGCAAGGACGTTACCACACCCTAACTCAGAAAAGAGAATCTCCAGAAGAAACCATCACTAGAATTTTTCAGAATCTTACCTTCTAAAGTACAAGGAAGAGCATTAGAAATTACCTCAAATTTCTGATGGAGAACCGTCATCTTATTATCAGTAAAAATTATCACAATGTCACCATAAACATCATTGATCTGTATATCCCATTATAAATATTGCAACCATATAATGAGTCCTTTGAACTCCTCTTCGAGTTGATAGGAATCATACAACTCCCTTGCAGCAACTAGAGAATCACAACCACCTTCCTCAACTTCTAAAGACAAATTTCCCAGCAACATCCCATCCATACTGCCGAAACCAGCCTCAAAATCATCCCTCTAACCCCTAGTCATCGTAGGTCGCCTCTCCAATTTTATCTCCTTTTTCAATCCTTGCTTTATTCATTTTCTTCTACACCTTAACTTACGAAAATCCTATCAAAATCAACACCTACACACTTTGTTTGATGATCGGCTTCAGAAGCAATGACCACCACTATTCGACTTTGAAGAGAATCTTTGCTTCGGGTGTGGGAAGAACCCTTTCGTCTGTGTGGAGAAGCCGTAACATTCAAACTCTCCCCAACTAGCATGGGAAAGCGGACCAACCTTCCATTATTCTTATATTCATTACTGTGTTTTTGGGTTAAAATGGCCCAATTTAAGAAGCCCATTTCTTATTATATTTCTTTCTGGCCCACTTTATTCTTTGTTCTCAACCCCTTTTCATCTTCAACCAGGCTTGTATTTTCCTGGCCCACCTCTTGATTCAAATCCTTTGATTTATCCTTAACTTAGTTTTTGAATTCAAAACACACTTAAAATTTGAATTATCCTTACTAAACTTTCTCTCGGTAATTAGCATGATTAATAGCACTCAACATATCATCAGATATTTTCTCAACTAAAACCAAATCTTTGCATTTATTATGCTGAACCATTGGTGCAAGAACTCCTTCCTCCTCTTGCCTCCTCCTATTGCTAGGTAACCCCCTTTTGCTCTGCAGGCTGTCTTCAACCTCTCGACCAATGCATAGAGCCTCCGTACTACCTTTTCCTTGAAACATTCCTTTTTATTTTCGACTGAACCTTCCAGTATTCGAGAAACACTTAGCCCTAATAAGGAAAGATTTCCAATTAAAATCCGAACTGAAAGAAGTCTTCAACTGCCACAAATGGAACGGTAGTCCTTCAACTGCAATCCATCCTCCAAAAATGATACTTGACTTCTAACGGCATTTGATTCATGAAACCAATTTTGAAGCTACACATCGCCATCATACAAACTCTCTCAGCTTGTAACCAATCATCACAAAAAAATTATGGCTTTGTCTACTTTGAAAGGCCGAAAACAGATCTTCATTTTCAGAGCCTTCACCAACACCACTACAAGACAAACAAACTTTCTTAACACACATCGCCATTTGACTTCTTTATGCAAAATTTCAGCCTTCTTAACAATCACGGGATTATTTACCTTAAGAATCTCAAACCATCCCTTCTTTCCTTGCTCCATGGCTGTAGAATTGGGTGCATCCATCAACCCCCTGTTTTCCTTTTTCTTTGCCTTGCCTTATTCTATCTTCCACCAAAAAGAACATCCTCCATCAATCTTCTAAACTCTTTCCACCCTATGTCTTGGAAGCCTTTAGGAATAATCAAACCTCTTCCTCTACCATTATTCATCATCTGTGTAACCTAGGCAAACTCTTCAAACCTACTATTTTCTAGTTCCATCCACATACAAAATCCATCCATCCTTAATTTCCTAAAGAAAACATCTCCTCTATTCCAATATAAAGCATTAGAAAACATCTCCTTCAGCAATTTCACATAACCTTTATAAGCATGAGAAAAACCCAAACGATTCCATTTTGTTATACGAACCAATTCACCATGCACTCCTTCAAACCTAAGTTTAAAACGCTTATGGTCCACTTTAATCTCCATTTCTAAAAGCTTCAACTATTGTAAACTAAGTCAAAGGGATACGATTAGAAATGCACTTGAGAAGGTAATTAAGAGCAAGATTCCTCACTTGTTTATCATGAGGTTGGTCTATAGTGATTTAGTGTTGGGCACTCTTTCTCTTGAACACGACAATCCATATTTTCACTAAAATTGGTTCTGTGTTTTATCATTAATGTCCATTCAGGTTCCTTCATGTTCTTTCTATCCCACCATCTTTCTTGTCCTCCTATTTTTGTCTCTTTTTTTTTTTTTTAAGTTTTTCTCCATTGAGAAACCTTCTTCCTAATTTTTTTTTTTTATAAGTAAAAAAATATGAATATAACGAGGTAGTACATTCTTCCTTGATTAATCTGTTGCTGTACCTCTGAAAGTAAATAAATAATTTGATATTAATCAAGCTACTGTTGGAACCTACAATAGTTCTTTTTTTTTTGGTCGGGGGAAGAGGGGCTCTTATCCAATAATAGCCTTTTTTCCATTTTTTGTGCCAGAAACCCTACAATAGCACAAGTTCTCCATTATTTGACGGGATCAAAATATCATGATGGGCAAGCTTGGATAGTGCCTTCAGCCTTCAGCCTCCAAGATTGGAGGACAGTCGAGAGGCTATCAACACATTACATTGGTGTTCAATTATCATGATGTCCTAGGTCAACTCGCGAATGCTTGTTTAGTGAGTGGCTCCATGGCTGAAGGATAAACGTTAAGAGTGACAATAATAAGCGGTTCCTTAATTCTGATAAAGAGCCATCTATCTAAGTCTTTTCAAAGAAAACCAAGTGATTGCTGGTCAGCACTCATAAATAACGGGGCACTTGAATTCTAGTGTTGAATCATCGGCAATGGTGTACCATCGACAATCTCCACCTAATTTACCTGCTCTGTAAAGTACATTTTCATCTCCTTTCATGCTATCTCGTGAGTACACCATAAAATCAAAGCCAAAAGAGATGCCACTTCACACTTACCAATGAAGATGCATAACTTACCTAGATCTGGATGCTACTCCAACTAAGATCTCTTGCAGTTGAGTAACTAATTAGTTGCTTTACCTCATGTTTACCTTTACATGCATACAAAGAGGCAATATAGCAGTGTTGCTCCTTTAATCTCCTTAAATAGTTGTTGCATGTTACCACCACTGACCGGAGTCAAGCACACTAGCCTGAATACTGTCAATCTTTCTTCCATTTCTTTTCTTTTTCCCTTCTATCGTTTTTTGCAGTTGGGTGGAGTAGGTGTGCTGCGTAATAGATCGTATGCACACCTCCATCCCAAGAAGGACGTGTAGCCTGCACATCTATCTCACCAAGTGGCAGTAGATACTAGTTAAGCGAGCAACTAGTGGAATGGCCAACATAAATTAACCCGCCTTACATGGACTGCTAAACAAGTAAGCGTGTTGACACAATTTATGAGTCTCCTATGTAAAGAAAATTGGAATTAGAATTAATATATCACCCTCCTAACACCATTTATGAATCTCCCTATGTCAAGAAATTTGGAATTAGAATCAAAATATCACTTTGTTAGCATTCCGTAGAGGCAGAGGCACCAAAATCATTGATAGAAGAAAGAATTGAACATTAATGTCCCGCAAATTTCTCCATCAGTCTTTGTTAGGATCATATTTGTAAAATTGGCTAATTTTATGAAGTCTTTTGTAAATCTCAACCAATTGGTCATGATGCTACAATGTTCAACATTCAAAAATGTCAAATGAAGGGAGGAGTTCAAGCTAGAACTACGTATCAAAGACTCTCTGAATGCAATTTCATACTTAGGACAAAGGTAATGACCTTAGAGACCTTAGTACACTTGATTTAATTTTAGACTTGGGTTGAGTTGAAATCTAAAGATCTAGGGTTTAGAGAGGAGAAGATGCAATAGAAGAGAGAAGAGAAGGAAGAGATTAGAAATAGGGTTTAGGAGAATAAGAGTTAACCAGTCTCTCCTCTCATCACTTGTATTTATATTAACTCATAATAAAGTAAAGATTACAACATACCCTCAATTAAAATGACTTAACATTCTACACTCCCTCTCAAATTGGAGCATAGATATCTCTTATGTTCTACTTGTATACATCTAAATAAAAATTTCTACTACTAAGCACCTTAGCAAACACATTAGCTAGTTGTTTGTTGAACGTCACAAATGGTATACAAAGCAGCCCACCATTTAGCTTTTCTTTCATGAAGTGTCTGTCAATCTCAATATGATTTGTTCTGTCATGCTTAACCGGATTGTGAGCAATACTTATGACAGCCTTATTATCACAATACAAGTGCATAGGTTCACCATTAGAGACACACAAGTCTTTCATTAAGGTTTTCAGTCATATAAGCTCATAAATACCATAAGTCATAGCCCTATATTCTGCCTCTACACTAGATCTAGCTCCTACTACTTGGTTCTTGCTCTACAAAGTAACTAGATTTCCTCTTATATAAGGATATAGTAAACTGTGATGAACTCCTATTCTCAATTGAGTCTGTCAAATCTACATCTGTGAAAGCTTCTATTCTTAGATGACCTCAGTTTGAGAACAATATTCCTTTGTCAGGAGATGATTTGAGATACCTCAGTATATGATGAATTGCCTCTTAATGACGAGAAACATGCATGACTTGGCAACACTCACTACATATGGTATGTCTGTGCGAGTGTGTGAACAGTATATAAGTCTCCCAACAAGCCTCTAATATCTTTCTCTATCAACTTGATAACTTTCATCTTCTCAGTTTGTAGTTTGTCTCAATAGGTGAGTCAGCAGGTCTACAACCTAGCTGTCAGTTTCCTTTAGGAGATCAAAGATATACTTCTTCTGTGAGATGAAGATGCATTTATTTAACCTGCAATCCCTAGGAAATAGCGTAACCACCCCAACTCCTTGATCTCAAACTCTTTAGCAAGGTAGACTTTCAGTTTGGACACCTCCTCCACATCATCACCTATGAGTATTATGTCATCAACATATACTATAAGAATTGAGATCTTACCACTCCCTTGTTTGATGAATATGGTGTGATCTGCATGACTTGACTTGAACTCAAACTTGACCATTGCCTTATGAAATCTCTCAAACCAAACTTTAGGAGACTACATGAGTCCATATAGAGATTTCTTCAGCTTATATACTTCTCCCTCTATATCTAGAGAAGAAAACCCTATATCCATGTATACTTCCTCCTCTAAGTCCCCATGAAGGAATGCATTCTTTACGTCCAATTGTTGTAAATCTCATCCCAAATTGGCAGCACAAGAAAGGATGACACGAATGGAATTCATCTTCGCCACAGCAGCAAATGTCTCGTAATAGTCAATGCCACATGTCTGAGTAAACCCCTTAGCTACCAACCTTGCTTTGTATCTATCCATTGTACCATCTGCATTTTTCTTGACAATAAACACCCATTTAAAGCCTACTAATTTCTTTCTGGCTAGAAGAGACATTAGCTCCCATAACTCTCATTTCTTCTACCATAGCGGCTTTCCACTTGGGTTCTCCAAGGGTTTCATTCCAACTCTAAAGAACGGAAATAGAAGACGAAGATGAAACAAAAACACAATAGGAGGAAGACAAAGAGTCATAAGAAATAAATTTTGAAATAGGATGTTGGGTACAAATCCAAACTCCTTTTCGAATAGCAATAAGTAAAGAACTATCATCAATAGGATTACTACAAGGAGACTCATTTGTTGTCTAAAATTAGGGAAGACATGCAAATAATAAGATATCCTGAAGTAAGAACTATATTAGTCCAATATGATTTCGGTACATGCATGTTAAATATCAAGGTACGGGCAACATCCAACAAATAACAATGTTTACATTCAACAACGCCATTTTGTTGGGAGGTATGTTGACAAGTGGTTTGATGGATAATGCCATGACCAACACACAAGATTTTCAAAAACGATTGAATGTACTCAAGACCATTGTCAGATCGAAGAATTTTAATACGTATATCAAACTGAACCAAAATTTCAATATAAATAGTAGTAAAGACCTTAGGGAACTCAAATTTGTCTTTCATAAGAAATAACCAAGTTATACAAGAGAAATCATCAATAACGATTATAAAATATTGAAAACCAATTAGAGTAATTACAATATTATCTTATACTGATTTAAACATGAGTAATACAAAAACTAAGAACTTTTAACACTCCTCCCTCAAGTTGAAGTATAAAGAAAAAAAATGTCCAACTTGGAACACAAACTACTAAAGGCAGACCGAGCTAATGACCTGGTAAGAATGTCACACAGTTGATCACTAGATTTAATATAAGGGGTGATGATCTTCTTCTACATCAAGAGATCTCAAATAAAATGACAATCTACCTCAATGTGTTTGGTACGCTCATGAAATACCAGATTCCTTACAATTAAAATAGCTATTTGATTGTCACAGTGCATCTTTATAGGGGAAGATACATTAAGTCTCATATCACGAAATAGAAAACAGACATATAGCATCTCACAAGTAGTGTATGACATAGCATAATACTTAGTCTCTGCACTAGAACAAGCAACCACAT